CCCAGCTCCAGGTTGAGCTGTTGTTCAGCATCTTAGCTGTAGAGGGCAGTGTCACTGGCCCTCATATGTGGGATCCGAACCGGGGCCCTCTGGCTTCCCAAGCCAGTTCTTAACCATCGTGCCAGTCGGCCGGCCCTGCCTCAGCCATTTTAAGTCACTTTTTTAGACTCTTGGCGGGACCATCCCTGTCCAAAATCATGCAGCAAGCAGAGTTTGCCTTCAGTGCCTCTTGCCTCTGTTTTCTGTGTCATTTCTTCACTTTTAACATCTCCCATACAATATGCCCTCTAACCCACTCCAAAGCCTACTTCAGGCTGTCCCTAGAGCATTCTGTGGATCAGGAGTAAAGTCTGAGAGATTTATGCAGATTAGGTTAGAAAGGCAATGCTTTCACTCAAAAAATGGGTTTAAAACATGGTAGACTTGAACCATCATATGCTGCTGTTCGGAACTTAAAATGGTACAATCATTGTGGAAAACAGTTTGGCAATTCCTCAAAAAGTTAAACATCTGCTATGATCCAGCAATTCCATTCCCAAGAGAACTCAAAACATATGTTCAAACAGAAACTTGTACACAAATGTTCATAGCAGCATTATCCATAAAAGGCAAAAAGTGGAAACAAAAATATTCATCAATTGATGAATGAATAAAGAAAATGTGGTGTATCCAGTGGAATTCTATTCAGCTATGAAAGAAATTAAGTACTGATATCTGCTACAGTGGATAGACCTTGAAGCCATTATGCTAAATGAAAGAAGCCAGACACAAAAGGCCACATATTGTATGATTCCATTGATAATGAAATGTCCAGAACAGGCAAATCCATAAAGACAGAAAGCAGATTAGTGATTACCAGGGGATGGGGGAGGGGAGAGTTGAAGGCACTGGGTTTCCTTTTGGGGTGATGAAAATGTTCTGAAATTAGTGTTAATGGTTGCACAGAATTGTGAATACATTAAAAATTACTGAATTGTACACTTAAAATTGTGAATTTTATGCTATGTGAACTTTATCTCAGTGAAAATTTTTTTTAAAAATGGTGGACTTTCTGGCTCTGTGGCATCTAAGTAGGGAGATATTTTGGGGACAGAGAGCCTGTCTGTGTATTCTTTTTTTTTTTTTTAAAGATTTTTATTGGGGAATTAGGGGGAAGAGGAACAGACAAGTTGCTGTCATTTTGTTCTTCAGTCTAGTTGTGGAGGGCGTTGCTTCACTGGCCCAAGTTGCCACCATCATTGCGCTCTTCCCAGGGGAGGCAGATCAGTCGCCGGCTTCTGGACGGCCGCTCACTGCGGCTGCTGGCCGCTCACGCTGGCTGCTGGCTACACACGCTGGCTGCTGGCTACACACGCTGGCTGCTGGCTACACACGGTAGCCCATGGCAACCCACTGCCACAGGGGCTGCAGCCTACGCCATTGCCGCCAACTGATGGCAGCCCAGCTCCAGGTTGAGCTGTTGTTCAGCATCTTAGCTGTGGAGGGCAGTGTCACTGGCCCTCATATGTGGGATCCGAACCGGGGCCCTCTGGCGTCCCAAGCCAGCTCTTAACCATCGCGCCACTCGGCCGGCCCTGTCTGTGTGTTCTTAAAGCATACCATATACCAAGAGAGAATTTTCTCTCATTTCAACTCTCTGCTCCTCTTCCTCCTTCGCTTTCCCATCTGATTAACTTCCTTCATGCTTTTGCTTTTACAGTTATCCTTTGATTCTGAATAAGGGACAAGCTTCTTGCCTCTCCTATTCTGGGCTTCTTTGCTCCCCTCCTCTTCCTCTCTTCTGCTTTATCTGCCCCTTTCTGTTCGGAGGTTTTCCTTTAACCCGCTGTGTCCCGCTCCACAGGCCCTGTGTACAGCTGAGGCTTGTTTGGGAAGCGGCCATAGTTACAGCACTGACAGGTCACTACTTACCAGGTACACAGTGAGGAACCTCTTTCCTGTCCTGTGTCTCTTTCCGGGGGCCTTGGGCTGTGCAGGTGAATGTCTCTGAGGAGTGAAATGAGGGGAGGCAAACAAATATCAGAATTGGAGGTGGAGCTAAAAGAGTAGGTGCCCAGAGGGCCGCAGGCCTCTTGGTGGGAATAAAGCAGATAGAAGCTGGTTCTCCAGCACATGGGGACTTACCTGCAGGCACTGCCTGATAATAGGGCTCTTGGCAGTGGTTCTGGATCTTGTAGGGGTTGTCTCCAGGTGTGTGTGTGGCCTCAGAGTTCCCATTAACCTGGCTGATGAAATGACTATGGTTCAGACCTATAGGAAAAGAGTGGTCATTTGGACCTAGAACAGAATTGCAAGCTGGCAACCCAGGGACTGATTCTGGCCCATGGTCATATTTAGTTTGACCTACACAGTCTTTTTTTTTTTTTTTAATTTGAATTATTTTCCACTGATCAGATTGTCAATGCTAAAAAAGTTTGAAAATAACTGTGATAAGTAGGATATGGGAAAACAGTCATTTTTGTACATGATTAGTGGGAGTGTAAATTAGCAAAACGGCTTTGGAGGAAAATTTAGCAATATCAAAATTAAAACTGTAAAAGTTCTTTTCACCTAGCATTTCAATTTCTAAGAATTTACCCTCATATACATGCTCCAAGATGTATATACAAAGATATCCATAGCAGTACCATTTGTGGCAGCAAAATATCAATCAGTCCAGGGTTGTTAAATACGTATATTACGATGTATCAATCAAAGGAATATTATATGGTCATTAAAAAGAATTAGGCAATGCTAAACATACGTATACAGGATGATCTTTAAGATATATCATTGAGTGAAAAATGCTAAGGTTAAAACATTGTAAATATTATGCAACACACACACACACACTTTATACTTGAATGGCATAGAATGTCTTTGGAAGGATACATAGGAAATAGAGAACAAGGTTGTTTCTGGATGAGGTAGCCAGGGACTAAGGGCCAGAGATCAGAGGAAGACTTACTTTTTACCATATATATATATATTTTTTTTTTTGACATTTTTATCATGTGAATGTATTATCTTTCAAAAGTTCTGAGTAACCATTTGAACATCTAGAATTTCATTTAAAATCTGGATTTTTGGGTTCTCTTGAAAAATGAGATGATATGCTAGCACTGGGCCAGCAAATTGGCATGGAAACAACTGCTGGAGCTGAGCAATTGTGCGGGCTCCAGGAGGGGGCAGGGATGGGATGGGCCCAGGTGTCTCCGAGCCTCCAGCCTCAGCAGTCATTCAAGCTTCTGCTTGTTGCTTCAAGATACTGGAGCCATGGTTATGGCAAAGGGTGCACCCCGAGGATGGACACTTACTCACTGCTTGGTAGAGGGCCAGGAAGCCCTTGTAGAGGTGGGTGGTCTTGTCCTCAGAGGAGGCGGGTGCATAGAAGGTCAGCTGCAAACTGCCCCCTGAGGACACAAATTCCCTCTGACCTGGGGGGCTGCCCAGAGGGGAGTCCTGCTGGCCACAAAACCGGCTTGGATCCATCCCACTGGCTGTGATCTGAAAGGGGACGGGAGGGGGGCAGGCAGGTGTGGGGTGAATTTGCATCACAGGTGGCCACAGGGTCATGTCATGGGCTGGACTCCAGCACCATCTAATAGGTCTGGGGCTAAGAAATCGTACCCTGTAGAACCCTGTTCAAGTAGCTTCCTGTTCCATTATTGACTTCCAAGTTTCTTTCAGACATGGCCAGATATCTAGCATATTTCTTTAGCCTACTATAATTATCTCATAAAACACACCATCTTTACCTTTTTCAAGAAGCTCTTTGTGAATAGTCAACATCATCATAATAACTATAGTAACAAATGCTTACTAGACTTATTGTGGTAATCACTTTGTAAGGTATACAAATGCAAATCAATATATTGTATACATGAAACTAATATAATACTATATGTCAATTGTAATTAAAAATAAAGTAATAACAAAGGAAGCTTCTTGGGAATCCCAGGGTCCCCCCCCCCCAATTGTAAGTTCTAAGAAGGCAGGAAATACATCTATTTTGCTGACCACTGAGCTCCTGATGTTCAACATGGTGCCTATAGCAAAACAGCTTTGAATCAATGAAAATAGAGACATAAGTCCCTTTCATCCATCTTCCTCCACCCCCATCACCTTCCACTTCTTTGAGTAACTTCCTGTGGGCCAACATCTGTGAAGCAATAAGACCCTCAGCAAAGACTGAGATCCTGGTGTTCCTGGCCTTTCCTTTTGGAATGTCCCTCCTCTTTCCCCACAAACTGTAAATGAAGCCCCCACAAGGTGTGGGAATCTAAGGACACATGTACACAGTCTGGATATGCTGGCTATTGTTACTTAAGTTATATGTCCTTTAAGAGGTTGTTTCTGTTTCAAACCCCTTCTGACTGCCTCACCCCCCTGCTCAAATTCCTTCCTGTGGGTTCCCGGACCCAAGGAAGGACACCTTGGAAGGAATTCCCCTGGCCCACAATTCATGTGAAATCTCTATTCTGGGCACACAGCTCCCTGCTCAGTTCGTTTTATTTCTGATTTTCACATTGATTTCCATCCTGGGTTCTTGCTGGCTCTTTATTCCCTCATTCTCCCTATGTCTCAAATTCCTTCAAGACTCCATTCAGCCCATCTCATAGTGATCACATTAACTGGGTAAAAGTTGGCATGAAGGGAATTTCTCGATCACCCCAAATGCCTTGCTCTTTTCCTCAGGACATCAGCAAATTTAAGCCCCACATTTAAGAGGTCTACCTCTTGAGAGGGAAGCATTTTGCTCTCAAAAATTGACCTTTACTGATCTATGTGGTTGTCAAAATCTGCGGTTTTCTTTTTACCCATCTTCATGAATTTTTGGCTAAATAGAATCATTTAGGAGACTAACTAGCAGAGTAAAATGAACACATGACCGAGTGTCCTAATGCTTCTGTTAAATTCCAGACTTTGCTCTTAACTCCCTGAGTGACATGAGCTGTTGCTTAACCGGCCCAGATATTAGTTTCCTCTCTTGTAAAATGGTCTGTGAAGCCTCTTGCAGTCAGGACATCACGTCCTATGGCAGCTCTCCAGTTTGTGCATGAAGAACAGTGGTGGAGATGATACTAAATACCTGATCGCTCAAAATTCGCTCTGTTGTGTGTCCTACACACATGGCAAGCTTGGATTTCATTCATTTTTTTTTCATTTATTTCTTCGACAGTTATTATGTTCTATGTGTAAGACACTATGCTAGGTGCTGGGGATACAGACATGAACAAGACATGGTTCTGTTACTGAGCAGCCCACAGTCTGGCTGAGGATACTGACAAGTAAAACATAAACCTGACTACAGTGTGTTGCATTCCGCATTCAAGGTGTGTGTGTGTGTGTGTGTGTGTGTGTGTGTGACTTGCTCTGGCAGCAGAGAGGAAGAAAGAATCCTATTCCTGAGCCTGGACTTGCTCAATGACGAGGGAAGAGTCAGGCTGGGATTAAAATTGTCGATGACTAAGAAGAACAGGGCTCATGTTAGGTGGTCAACAGACACAGGCTGAATCGAATAAAGGATTGTCTTGTCTGGTTAAATCTGAAGCAAATACATGCATTTATCTCCTCTCCCACCTCAAACCCCACTAATATGACAGCAAAGGGATAAAATGGTGTACAGGATCAAGGATAAACAGTGAGAGAAGGTGAGAGTAGATGAGAGATATCAGCAACATTATGGAAAGTGGAATGGAGACAGACAAGTGGGAACCTGTGTCTGCAAAGGTGGAAGCCAACATAAAGCTAACAGGTTCTTATCACAGAACCCTGGAAAGTTTCAGAAATTGGGGTAACCAGGAGCCTCTGAGGGTGGGGATGAGGGAAGGGCTGACAGAAAGCCTAAGAGGGGAAACTTCAGAACTGTAGGTCTCTTTGACCACGCTGTGCATCCAGGTAACTTCCTCTGACTCACCATGGCAGGAGAACTGAGCATGAGCCAGAGCCCTGGACTTGGGATCCCCTGGCACACTTGACAGAAGAGGTGAAGGCCAGAACTAAAAACAGAGGTTTTAGGTGAAAATCTACATATCGAACAGCGAGATACTTTTTTTCTGCTTGTTTACCAGAATGTTGGCAACTCTGAGCAGGAGACCCAGAGGATTCCTCTCTGAGGCTGATGATTGTCCCCCTCCCCCAAAATACTTCTGCATGCTGACCTTTGGGAGGGTCCCAATAGCACATCTAGGGCCTTGTGGATAACCCTATTTTCAAACCAAATCTGTCCTTTCACACATTTAAGCTATCTACACAGAGCATCCAATACCATTCTAGTACTTCACTCTTAAATATGAATGGACAGCCAAGGATTATCAGACGTTGTAGGAGAGTCTCTAACATGAAAAGCAGATACCAAAACAAATGAAGAGTAAAAAGGAACTTGGACGGAGTAGAGATAATATAGGGAAGGGAAGAAACATTTAAAAATAATCCCATTAGAGGGAAAAGAGTAGGTATTGTCTATGAAACAAGAACAATGTTCTGTAAAAAGGCACATTTAGAAAATAAGAATGAGACTTTAGACATTAAGAAAATATATTAACAGAGAAAAACATTAAATTTGGTATTTAAAATGAGGAAATCTCCCAGAAAGTGGAAGAAAAAGACAAAGAGATGAAAAACACAACAGAATGAATAACAAAACTAGAGAATCAGTCCAGAATATACAACAGCTAAATTATTGGAGTTCCAGAAAGAGAAAATAAAGAGAGTAGACATCTGAAAATTATTCTAAAAAATAATAGAAAAACATTCCCAGAAGCGAAGGACTAGTTTAAAAGAGTCTCTAGATTAAAAGAACCCTGTACAATGAGTGAAAAATGACCCACATCAAGATAAAAATTCAGAATACTGGTAATAAGGAAAATATTCTAGACGCTCGAGAGAGAAAAAACTAGGGGTCAGAAATCACAATGGTATCAGATTTTACAACACTAGAGCTAGAAATCAACGTCATCAAAATTCGGAGAGAAAATGACTAGCCATCAACTGTGAGGGTAGAACTAAGACATTTAGGGTTATGTGAGATCCTCTAAAATTTACTACCACATACCCTTTCTGGATGAGAAACTGTTCCTTTCTCCAAAATGAGGGAGTAAACCACGTGAGAGAATGATGGGATCCAGTTCCAATACAAGACAGGTGAAGGAAATACCCAGAATGAGGGAGAAGGGAATTCCCAGACAGTGTGGAGGCTTAGAAAGCAAAGAATTCAGACTGAAGAAATAAATCATCAAGAGATTTTCAGGTGGGATGTCACCAATAAAAAGGAGGGCTTAGAGGGCCGGCCGAGTGGCGCGATGGTTAAGAACTGGCTTGGGACACCAGAGGGCCCCGGTTCGGATCCCACATATGAGGGCCAGTGACACTGCACTCCACAGCTAAGATGCTGAACAACAGCTCAACCTGGAGCTGGGCTGCCGTGAGTTGCCGGCGACAGTAGGCTGCAGCCCCTGTGGCAGTGGGTTGCCATGGGCTACCGTGTATAGCCAGCAGCCAGCGTGAGCGGCCGTCCAGAAGCTGGCGACTGATCTGCCTCGCCTGGGAAGAGCGCAATGACAGTGTCAACTTGGGCCAGTGAAGCAACGTCCTCCACAACGAGACTGAAGAACAAAACGACAGCAACTTGTCTGTTCCCCTTCCCCCAAGTCCCCAGCACTGTTCCCATCCCCCCAATTCCCCAATAAAAATCTTAAAAAAAAAAAGGAGGGCTTAGAGATTGAGATTTGTACTTGAATATGTCTAGAGATTTACTCTCTTGGTGAAGAGCTTGGGAAGATTAGTTACAGAGACAACTAAGCAAACCAAAGATCAGAACAAAAACAAACAAAAAACTCCAAAGAACTCCATGTAATATTGACTCCTGGGAAACCCAAAAGCTAAAGAAAGAAACTATAATTATTGTACACCATGTGCGCTGATGTGAATATTTTAAAGTCATAATGATGTACATAATGACTATAGATTTAGTTAAAAATCATAGTATAGGGAAACTGGGAGGATGGCGGAGGGGAAATGTGGGTGGTGTAGGTCTAAGAGAGATAAAGCTAGTCCTTATCTTTTATAGTTGGAAGTTAATAGATAACATGTAAAAACAAAACAAAACCCAGGATAAACATGTTATTGATACATGAAAATAAAAGCTACATGAATTGTAAATAATTGCCACAGGGTAGTAGGGTGGGGTTGGGGAGTAGGCTGGAGACTACTGTTTTTCATTATAAACCTTATAGTACTGATTTTTTTTAAAAAAGCTATGTGCATGTATTATTTTGATACAAATAACATTTAAGTCAAAAGATAACATAAAGTACTGTTTTTAAAGTGTCCTTATTCTGAATAAGAAGTTTGTGATAGCTCCTCTGAGGTAAACTTGAACAGTCACTGAATCTTGTTATTACGCATACCCAGTTTCCTGCCCTGACAGAGCAGGCACTCAAAAATGCTTGGTGATGTATTTTTAATGACTGATGTGTGAGCCCTTGCTCTTTATGTTAGGGTTTCACAGTATTTGTGAATCCCTTTGGGGCCGAGATGGTAGCATGGGCAGGGACAGGACCGCTGGTGGAGGCGCCGGACAGACCCTCTCCTCCCTGGTAAGCTGGCCTGTTCCCCTGACTTGGGCTGTCATTCATCCTCTGAGATTCAGGGCTTGGCCACCTCCCACTGCCCCTGGGCGCTAGGCCTGGAGACCCCCTCCCCGGAGTCCCTCCAGGACCCCTACCCCAGCTCACTGTGACAGAGTCCCGCTCGCAGTCCTGGGATGGCTCCAGGTCGAAGTCCTGGAATACGAGCTTCACAGCAAAGCCCTGTGGAGCCTCAATGACAGTGGTGCTCTCTTGGCCTTTGAGGTATGGCTCTGGGTACCCAGGCGATGTCAGGTGCTGGGGTAGCTGCTGGGCCAAGCGCACAGAGCCCTGTGTGGGGCAAGCCTGGAGGACTCCCCAGAGAAGCAGCCACCACCTGTAAGTGGGTGAGGACAAGATGAGGACACACAGCTGTGGCCTGAGTGCTTAGGGTCATGAGGAGTGGGGGCAGGCAATGCTAAGGGACTGAGAGGCCTGGCAAAGGCTTTGGAAGCTGCGGCCTCAGCCTTCGAGGCCGGGCACCTCTGTCTGCTCCGTCATTGACCTTTCCCACCCGTTTCTTCAGCCTCTTAGGCAGCCTGAGCTCCATGGTGAATTTTCCACCATTGTTTATCTCCCTAGACAGTCTCATCCAAACAGGGGGGCATGCTTTCTGCTTCAGCAGATCCCAACCTCATCCTGGGATCTGAAGGAGCAATGGTGGTACAAATGAGGGGCAGTTACGTATGTTAGTTTCCTGGCTCAGAGCATTGAACCTGACCACCCCCAGGAAAGGCTGTTAAAGGCTATGCAAATTCCAGTTCCCCTCTGCTTAAGTGTGTTTGTGTGTGTGTGTGTGTGTGTGTGTGTGTGTGTGTGTGTGTGTGTGTGTGTGTACATATGGCCCTGGGGCCCATCTTCCCTCTTTCCACCNATTCCAGTGTTTGTGTGTGTGTGTGTGTGTGTGTGTGTGTGTGTGTGTGTGTGTGTGTGTGTGTACATATGGCCCTGGGGCCCATCTTCCCTCTTTCCACCCTTTTCTTCTCCTCCAGGTCTTTCCAAGGGCACACTCACATCTTGCCTGGGCAGCTTGTGGAGTAGGGGCTTCCCCAGAGATAGTTCCCGGCTCTGAGATCAGGCATCTGGAACCGGACATCTGGGACCTCCGAGAGGACTTGGCCCAGGCCAGAAAAAAGGAGGTGGGGCTGATGAAGGCCCTGTGGGGGAGGAGGGAGCAGTTACTGGAAATGAGTTAAGTAACTCGCCTCTGTTCCCTTTTTCTAATTATATGGGTGGAGCGCCACCTGCTGTCTGACTCGGGAATAATTCACCTACTACAACTGAAGGGGAAAAACATCTTCGAAACCAGTCAGGCCCTCAGACAGGGGTGGGAGGGCACTGATTCTTGACTCTTCTGTAGTATTTACAAAATAGTAAAGAGTAGGATGGGTCCTTGTGAGTTATGGCTGTCACCTTTAATTGGCCATACCTCACCCTCCCTGACCTTTGCGCTCATTTATGTTACCAGCCTGCCTCTTGTAGAAATTGAAGCTTCTCTTCAGTTGAAGTTGAGCTTCTCTTATCCCTCTCCCTCTTCACCAAGCATGGCTGGGACCCCCACTTAGGAGTCTTTTGAATCCTGCCCACAACCCCTGGAAGCTGTTCAACCCCTGGAAGGAGGGTCAGGTTGGTGCTGGGTGGGGGTCAGGCCCAAACTCAAGCTTCTTTAGGCAGATACCAGGGGCCATGGCTGGGGGCTCCCTTGAACCCCCAGGAGAGACACACCCATGGCTTGGTAGGGGACCAGGAAGTGGAGGCCAGAGGTTTTGTCCTCAAAATATGTGGAAAGTCAGCAGCAGCCTGCTCCCCAGAACAGGAGGCCGCCAGTGGGGAGCCCTGCTGCCCATAGAGCCAGCTCAGACCAGCACCCCCGACTGATCTGAAAGAGAGTGGGGCGGCAGGCCAGTGTGGGGTGAATCTATACCACTGGTGGTCACAGGGTCACATCCTGGGCATGGACTGTAGCCCGTCTAGAAGTTCTGCACACTTCTGGGGCTCAGAGTCATAACTTGTGGTAGCTTTGTCAAACAGTTTTACTTACCCTGTCTCTCCCCATTCTATGGGTCACAAAGTTTGCCATATGCTGAAAATGGCCCCTCACCCTCTCCAGTGCTCTTGGTCCACAATTCTTTCAAGAGACTCTTTGGGAACCCTTAGGGGCACTCCCAGATAATCCACTAGGCCAGCTCATAGGCTCCATTAAGGCAGGACTGTGGCTACTGGGCTTAGCCTCACTGATGGCTAATGTGGAACCTAACCCATATATAGGATCATGAAATGTGTGTGGTTGAATCTTGAATATATGGGTAGAAAGGCTCTTTGTTGGCTTCTTCCCTTCTTCTCCCCTACGCTAACCCTCTAATTCTCCTTCATCCAGCCCCACTGTCACTTTGCTAAGTAAAAAGTACTTAGTACTGCTTACCATTTTTTGGGACCTGACTTTTCCCTTTTCCCATTCTTCTGTACAATACTCCCCATCCCCGCCTCCAACCTCACACAGGGCAAGAAAACACATATGGTTGTAACACAGCTATCTGATAACAGAGTAAAAAACCTAAAGATACAAAATGTACTTAAAAATGGTACACTTCTGGGCTGGCCAAGTGGCGCGTTGGTTAAGAGTTGGCTTGGGACGCCAGCTCTGAGCAGCAGAGCGCCAGTTCGGATCCCACATGAGGGCCAGTGACGCTGCGCCCTCTACAGCTAAGATGGTGAACAACAGCTTGACCTGGAGCTGGGCTGCTGTGAATTGCTGGCAACCGTGTGGGCTGCAGTGGGGTTGACCAGCAGAGGGTGTGAGCTTTCATGAGCTGCTGTGAGCCGCTGTGAGCAGCTGTCCAATCGCCAGCAAGTGACAGGGGGTTGCCATGGGCTACCGTGTGTAGCCAGCAGCAGCGTGAGTGGCCAGCAGCCGCAGTGAGCGGCCGTCCAGAAGCTGACGACTGATCTGCCTCGCCCGGGAAGAGCGCAATGATGTTGTCAACTTGGGCCAGTGAAGCAACATCCTCCACAACTAGACTGAAGAACAAAAAAACGACAGCAACTTGTCTGTTCCCCTTCCCCCAATTCCCCAGCACTGTTCCCATCCCCCAATTCCCCAATAAAAATCTTTAAAAAAAAAAAAAGAACATAACTTAAATTTGAGCTATTGCTCATTTCAAGACAGTTTGCAGTTTGGGGCAGTTAACTGCCTGCTTGAAAACAAAAAGAGGCAATACTCTTTGAAGAAACATCACAGAATCCATAGTCTTCATAATGTATCAATCATTGTGTCCAAGATACCATCCAAAATTACTCTGAATATAAAGAAACAGGAAAACACAAACCATGCTCAAGAGAAACAACAACAGAGCCCGCCCCCCAAGATGACACAGATGTTGCATTCAGTACCCAAGGATTTTAGCACACAAAGATGTAAAGAAAAAACATGCTTATATTAAAGAAAACAGATAGGAACATAAACAGAGAAATAGAGACTGTAAAAACAAACCAAATGGGCCAGCTGAGTGCCTCAGTTGGTTAACAGTTGGCTTAAGAGCGCGAGCTCTGACTAACAGGGCTGCCGGATTGATTCCCACATGGGCCAGTGACATTGTGCCTGAGCTGAGCTGTCGCTGAGCTGCCAACAGGTGGCAGGATGGCTCAGCTGGTATAACAACAAGATTGCCTGTTCGATGGTGGGCTATGCCCATCCGCAACTAAGACTGAATTCAGCATCTTGAGCTGAGCTGCCACCCGGATGGCTCAGTGGATAGAGTGTGCGCTCTTAACAACAAGGCTGCTGGTTGGACTCCCACATGGGATGGTGGCTACGCTCACCCACAGTTAAAATTGAACACAACCCATTGAGCTTAGAGGCCACGAGCTGCCGACGGGAAGCCAGATGGCGACTGGCGCCCTCCACAACTAAGACTGAAGAACAACAACTTGGCTGGTCCCCTTCCCCAACCCCCCAACACTGATCCCCTCCCCCAATTCCCCAATAAAATCTTAAAAAAAAAAAGAAGAAAGAACCAAATGTAAATTCTACAACTGAAAGATGTACTATATGAATTAAAAACAAATCATTGGAGGGGCTTAATAGAAGAATGGAGGTGGCAGAGGAAAGAGTCTGTGAGTTTGAAGATAGTTACATAAAAATTATCCAATCTGAAGAACAGAGGAAATTTTTTTTTAGATGAGCAGAAACTCAGGGACCTATGGGACAATATAAAAAACCCTAATATATATGTGTTTTTAGAGTCCCAGAAGGAAAGGAGAGAATGAGGCAGAAAAAGTATTAAAAGGCATAATGGCTGGAAGTTTCCCAGCTTTTGAGAAAAGCATCTATCTTCAGGTTCAAGAAACTCAGTAAATTCAAAGCAGAATTGAAAATGAACAAAAAAGCACACCTAGGCATATCATAGTCACACTGTTGAAAACCAAAGATAAAAAGAAAATGTTAAAAGCATCCAGAGAAAAAGAACACACCACAAACACAGAACAACATTTTCAATGTCACTACTTCGTCCTCAAAAACAATACACACCAGAAGGCAATGGAACGACGTCTTTAAAATGCTGAAAGAAAAAAAAAAGAGTCAACTTAGAGTTGCTTTTTCAGTGAAAATATTCTTTAAGAATGAAGATGAAATAAAACAATCTTTGGATCCAAAAAATAAAACTTAAAGAATTTGTCATCAGCAGACCTGCACTATGAGAGATGCTAAAGTTCTTGAGGCTGAGGGAAAGGAATCCAGATGGAACAACAGAGCCACAGAATGGATAAAGAGAAATGGTCAATTTGTAGGTAAATATAAAATCTATTGGCCGGCCGAGTGGCGCGATGGTTAAGAACTCGCTTGGGACGCTAGAGGGCCCCGGTTCGGATCCCACATATGAGGGCCAGTGACACTGCCCTCTACAGCTAAGATGCTGAACAACAGCTCAACCTGGAGCTGGGCTGCCTTGAGTTGCCGGCGACGGCGTAGGCTGCAGCCCCTGCGGCAGTGGGTTGCCATGGGCTACCGTGTGTTGCCAGCAGCCAACGTGAGCGGCCAGCAGCCAACGTGAGCGGCCAGCAGCCAACGTGAGCGGCCAGCAGCCAACGTGAGCGGCCAGCAGCCGCAGTGAGCGGCCGTCCAGAAGCCGGCGACTGATCTGCCTCACCAGGGAAGAGCGCAATGACGGTGCCAACTTGGGCCAGTGAAGCAACATCCTCCACAACTAGATTGAAGAACAAAAATGACAGCAACTTGTCTGTCCCCCTTCCCCCAATTCCCCAGCACTGTTCCCATCCCCCCAATTCCCCAATAAAAATCTTTAAAAAAAATATATAAAATCTATTTCATCTTAATGTCTTTAAAATACATATGTCTGTTTAAAGCAAAAATTGTAACATTGTATTGCAGGGTTTATAACATGTAGATATAATATACATGAAAACTGTAACATAAAGGATGGAGGGGGGACTCATATCATTACCAGGTTTCTTTGTACAATATTAAATCTAAGACTCAAAAATGAGGTATACAGTTCTCTCCAGAGTAGTGGTTTTCTACTTGTGGTCTTGGGAGCTGTGGGAGCCCCTGAGGTCCTTCCAGGGGGGTTATGAGGCCAAAACTATTTTCATAACAATACTAAGATGTTATTTGTTGTTTTCTTTTCCTTTCTCTCATGAGTGGACCAAAGGAGCATGTGCTTATGTATCCTTGTTTTAAAATTTTCTGTTTTAATTTTTGATATAGTGAATATGAATAGTTATAACATACATAAACAAAAGCTCTTTGGGGTTCTCAATAATTTTTAAGGGTATAAAGTTTGAGAACAGCTGCCCTAGAGTGATCACTGGAAAAAACTTTTTTTAAAAGGCAAAGAGGTATAGCTAAAGGCCAATATATCAATCAAAATAGAATTCTGAACTCTAGACTGGTCTAATTCGGAGGGACTTGTTCCTTTTCTTTTTTTTTTTAAAGATTTTATTGGGGAATTGAGGGAGGGGAACAGCGTTGGGGAATCGGGGAAGGGGAACAGACGAGTTGCTGTCCTTTTGTTCTTCTGTCTAGTTGTGGAGGATGTCGCTTCACTGGCCCATGTTGGTATTATCATTGAGCTCTTCCTGGATGAGTCGGCTGGCACCAGCCGTTGGATGGCCGCTCATGGCAGCTCACGGCAGCTCACGAAAGCTCATGCCCACTGCCGGTCGGCCCCACTGCAGCCTACACCATTGCCGGTGACTCAACGGCAGCCCAGCTCCAGGTTGAGCTGTTGCTCACCATCTTAGCTGCAGAGGGTGCAGTGTCACTGGCTCTCATGTGGGATCCGAACCGGCACCCTGCTGCTCAGAGCTGGCGTCCCAAGCCAACTCCTAACCAGCGCGCCACTCGGTCGTTCCTGGAGGGACTTGTTTCTAAAAGGGTGACCTATTAGCAATCATCCTGGTTTGTGTGGGACTGAGGGGTTTCTTGGGAAATGGGGATTTCAATTCTAAAACTGGTTCAGTCCCCGGCAAACTCGGGGCTGGTTATTTCTAGACCTTCAATCATCTGTTTTGTTCCCCTTTCCGTTAGCTAAATGTGAGCCTCTAAAGAGCCAAGACCACCTCTGTTCTATGTGTGGGTCCCCAAATATAGGTAAAAGGAGCAAATAGAGGAAATAAATGAAAAAAGCTACAAAATTGTAAGTACACTATGTTTGCAAAAATAGAAAACGCAAGAACAAACTAAAATAGCTGTGACTGTCTTAGAGCACAGGGCTATGTGAGATTTATAAAATATCTCTGATTAGTGAAATTTCTGTAATATTATTAAATCACTTTAATAATTAGAAAATAAATGTATTTAAAATGATAATTGTGACCAGATGGCCCCTTCTAAGCCAGGCAAGATTGAAAGGATGAGGCCATGAATCCTGAAGATGAGGCCAGGACCTGACTCCAGTGGCATCTTTAACTCTTGTGATTAATGGGGAAGAGCTTTTTGTCCTTGGATATGAGCTTAGGCCAGACAAGATCCTTTCAACCTTGGGGAGCTTATGTCTGAAGACAAATTGATGTCCCACTGTCTCAACTCTCTCCTTCCTCTCCAGTTCTTACTTACACCTTCTGAGCCTGCTTTTAGGTCCATTGAATTTTGTTTCTCGTTAACTGAGAAAGGACAAAGGGCAGAAGCTGGGAGAGCGGACAGTCTTCAAAGTTCTGATGGGAGGATGGAGAGAAAGCAGAGGAAGTCCATGGGTGTGAGTGCAGGAAGTCCATAAACACATTTTCAGAGTTTGGATTTTTATTTTGCTTTTATTTTTGAAGTTCCTGTTGGTGCTGCCACCCGCTGTCTTGTACAGGGAACCCCCCATGGGAGGGGTGTGGGGTGTGGCGGTCCAGACCAGGAAAGTGTTCCTGCAGCTTTCTCAGGAAAGGAGGAAGTAAAGGGGACACCTGCCTATTTTTGAACTTCACTTTCTTCAGACTTCTGGAGGGGTAGATACTGAGATGTGGGCCCCTGCTGCTGGATGCTCAAGATGGAGTCTGAGCTTAGGTGGGATGGAAGGACCTATGACATTGAGTGTAGAGCCATACCATTTTGTGGCTGGTCAGGTTTTTACTGCCCAAAGTCACACACCTCTCATCTTTTACCAGCTTGGCAAAAATTGAGGCTATAGTGCTAGGATGTGGGTCACTTGTGATGAAATTCAAGGTTGAGAATGTGTTAGTTTTCTGTTGTTATATAATAAATCATTTGCACACTTAGCAGGTTAAAACAACAAATGTATGATTTCACACAGTTTCTGAGTGTTGGGAATCTATTGTAGAAACAGCTGAGGGTGGTTTTAGCTCAGGGTCTCTCACAAGGCTTCAATCAAGGTGTTGGTCAAGGCTTCTGTCATCTGAAGGTTTGACTGGGGCTGGAGGGTCTGCTTCCAAGATGGCTTGCTCACACGGCTGTGGGCAGGAGGCCTCAGTTTCTTGACACATGACCCTCTTTATAGGACACTTGAGTGTCTTCATGACACATCAGCTGGCCTTCCTCAGAGTAATATAAGAATAAAAGGGTAAGGCTGAGACCAAAAACATCTTGGATTCCTGATCAATTCTCTAAGGTCTAAGACTCTGGTTAAAAAAAAAAAATCAGTCATTCTTGGGATCCACAGCTTTGTGTACCCCTGAAAGGGCTGGGGTGGGATTCACACATCCATCTACTGCCGTTGACTCCTCCAGTCTTCTTCACTCATATGTTGGTGTCCCTGGTGACCATCTTTGTCATATGAGGATGAATGGAGCAGCCTGATTTGAATGAGGATAAGGGTCTTGTCAGGGTGAGTATGCAGGTTGGGAAGAGAGAGAGAGAGAGAGAGAGAGAGAGAGAGAGAGAGAGAGAGAGAGAGAGAGTGTGTGTGTGAGTGTGTGTCTGTCTTTCTGTCTGTCTAGTGGGGAATGGAATATCCAAGAGGTGGCAGAGGAGGGATCTCTCATTCCCACTGCAGTGAGCAGCGTCCCCTGCTGCCCATAGGACAAACAGCAGCCCAAGTTCTCTACAGTCTCAGTAGGTCCAGGCTCCCAACCCCTTGCAGATACCTAAGTTGCTTAGTCCTCCTCTAGTTGCTTGTGTTCGTTTGGGGGTCTTCAGGCCTCTTGTTGGACTCTGGCTCCTGGAAGGTTGGGGTCGAGTGGAGGAAGTGGACCTGCAGTGGACCTGCAGATGGTTTGGATGCTCATGTCACAGGAGTTTTGACGGGTTGAGGCCATTTTAACTTGGACTTCACAGTCACAATGGAGGCCTCCAAACTTCTGGGTCAGGGCCCTCTGGCAAGACTCCAGTGAGGGACACTGAACTGACATTAAGAGCACAGAGGACAGTCCTGTGGGGGGAGGCTTGGACATGCACTGTGAACTCAGGGTGGCTGGGACAGTGTGTTGACCTGGTAACTTAGGCGATGGGTAAATACACCTGGAGCATTGTCCTTCAGCTTCTGTGTACCTTGAAAAGGGACAAGGTAGGACCCAGCAGCCCTCGGAGCTTCTGCTGGGCAGCTTTGCTGAGAGGAGGGCTCTCCACTCCCCAGTCTGCTGGGGTTATCTGCAGAGAGGCTGAGCAGGGAATAAGCTATTCAGTTCCACTATGAGCTATTTTCTTGTTCTTTTCCAAGTGCGTTCCAGGGCGTGTGGCAGGGTGAATGTTACAAGCCTAGTTCTTCTTGGCCAGAGCCCCAGTGACTGCCCTGAATGTTTAGGGGCCCTAGACTCTGCTGGAAGAGGGGGCAGGAATGTTCATCTAATGAGCACAGGCCAGGGACTTTCCAACAATCCTCCCTTCCCATCCCAGCCACGCTCTGTCCTCACCCCACACTGAATCCTCTTTTCTCTGACTCTTGCCCCGCAGTACTTTTATTCTGAAAGAACCAAGGCAGCTGGAGGTAGGGAGGTGCCAGAGGCTGGAGCTGGCCCTGACCCTGAACAGGCCCTATCCTTCTGGGCTGTTTTCCTGGGCAATAATTCAGAGGACCCAAAGGGAGGGGCCTTGCTGTCCTCAGTTCTCCCCTTTATCCTCTGTCCCTAGCCTTGCTGGCCTTTAAACGGAGGACCCCTAAGGCCAGGCCTATTGGTCTTCTTCCTACTGTTGCCTTCACACCCCCATGCCCTGCCTCTTTCTAGCCCTTGGCATTGTATCCTCCATCTGCTTCCCTTTTCAGTCTTTTCTGGCCTTCTTGCTGCTTGTCTGTCTCAAAGCAGACATGGAGGCCAGGTCACTATTTAGAAGCTTCCCAACCTCCCCCAGCACTGGACAAAGGTCTCACCCAGTCCCCTTCTTCTTCTCCAACAAGTAGAATGAAAATATAAGATAGCCAGGATGCATTCAGATGTTGGTAAACAGCTCTGTGGGTGGTGGGGGGGGGGAGGGCGTGCCTTAGGCCTGGTTCTGTTGAGCATATGAGACTGTCTCCAAAATAAGGACAAGGAAGTGGACAAAAATACTGTACGAGTAGCTCCTGTTTAAATTCTTGAACCCCAGTCACAGTTTTCCAAAAGGTCCACGAGGACAGAGTTATCATTAACCCCCGAATACTCAAAGCTTAGTTCTTTCTTAGATGGAATATAAGAGGCCAAATGAACTAAAGAGAGTTAACATCAGTTATTCTCAAGGGCCCGTACCCGTTTGCCTGTTTCTTTCATCCTGAAGGCCAGACCTTGAACTTGATATGAGGTCACTATTGGGCAGTGGAGTGTAAGAAAGAAAGGACTTTGGTCTTGGGGGCTACAAGTTATAGATTAACATGGGGAGGGCTGAGGAGGGACCCAGAGGGAGGATAAAGTGGCCTGAGGAAGGAACTGCTGACCTGGGACAACCTGGGTTTGAGGGATACAAGCAGGAGGAGCCTGGGGACTGGTGCTGTCTGGAGGGACTCGCAGCTCCTCTCCGGCTACTTGACCTTCCTGAAGACCTGCTCACACACTGCATCCCTCGCAGTCAGCTCCTGGGAATAGAGTAGGAATGATGAGGAAAAAGAAGGTTCTTGTCAGCTGGAGCTCCTTTGTCAAGGTCCTTGACCTCCACTTAATCCTTCAGGATACATCAACTAGGGCATTTGATGTATGGGGAACTGTATCATTGTTCCAGGCCCTCAACTTTTCACCCCAGAGGAAGGAAAGTTGCCAGGTCAGGGAATATGGAATGGCAAAGTCTCCATCTTTCTGGCTGTGATTCATGGACATTAATTTGACTTGTAGCCAGGGCTCACCTTGGCCACTGTATTTTTTCCTCTCTCCACTCCTCCCAGTGCTTTTGTTTCCTTTCCTTAGAGAAGGGGGCGGGGGGATGAAACCTCACTGGAGACCTCTCTCCCAGACACGCTCATTTACCAGCCCTCACCCAGCTTACCAGGTATAACGTCTCTCCCTCCAGCCAGTGCCTCCAGCCTCGGTTGGGCACCTCCCCTTTCTGCACACAGACCAGCTGCTCCTCCTCCCAGGTTACTAGGGTCTAAAGGGAAGGCAGGAGTAAAGGGAGACTGGAGGGAGAGGAGGGGGACAGGACACCCAAAATACATTCAACTCACTCTGGCTGGGCTGCCCCCTTTCACACCACAGCAGATCCTGTCTTGCTCCAGCCCCTTCATTCTGAGTGAGAAGGCTGCTCTGATTTAGCATGACTCCCCTTCCCCACTCCTGAAGGCCACTAAGGGGGACCTACAGTTTGTCTACAAGGGCAGAGCAAGATAATGGGGTGAAATGAGGAGTGGATGATGCAGAATGGAGAGTTTGTCCTCTCGATACTTCTAGTTGACCGGGAGGGGTCTTTGGAAAAGAAGAGAGATCGAATGGGAGTCCCACCAGGCAATCGCTTTTCTCCTCTGTCTCAGTTTCCAGAAGAGCTGAAGTGTCTCTGAGAATGAAGGATCAAGCCTCCTGAATTAGAGCTGGGTGGGCCTGGGCATTCTAGTCAACAGTGATTGAGGCCTCTCATAGGATAGGCGCTGCTAACCAGGGAGCTCAGAATCTTGATCAGATACAGAGTGGTAAGTAGATATCTATGATACCAGGCAGGACTGTGGGGGATGGGAATGAGAAGAAAAGAGCCCCGTCTTCAAGGAAGTGAGGAGTTAATGAAATTGTAGATAATGGGAAATTTCTAGCAAGGAAAGTAACAATGTAGAGGTAAGAAAGAAGAGCCAATAGTTCTGAGGTTCCCTAACCTAGCATGCATGTGGGAAAAAGCCTGGTATGCCATATGAAGTATGTAGACCTTATCTGAGAGTGGTAGAGTGTCACTGAAAGGGTTTAAGTCAGAAAGTGACATAGTCATCTTTACATGTTAGATAGATCCTTGTGGCCACGGTATGCAGAGTGGGTATGCAGAGTGGATTAGAGAAGGGTTAAATTTTGGCACCTGGTAAGAAACTAGGGCCTGAATTAAGATGGTGATAGTGAGAAAGGCTAGGAAGGAACAAATGAGAGCTATGTGGAACAGCAATGTTCAGTAGAAATGCAATGGGTCTTAAATGCAAGCCACATATATAATTGAGAGACATCTAGTAGCCACATAAAAAAAGTAAAAAAGCAACAGGTAAAATTAATTTTAATAATATATTTTATTTAACCTAAATTATCCAAAATATAATTTCGGCATGTAAGCAATATAAAAATTTCTGAGCTGTTTTACTTTTTTTGTATTGTCTTAAAAAATCTACTGTGTATTTTATAGTTACAGTAGATCTCATATTGGAGTAGTTACATTTCAGGTGTTCAATAGCTCTATATGGCTAGTAGTTACTATATTGGACAGTGCAGAAAAGTTATTAAGACTTCTTGACTAATTAGATTTAGTGTACACACTTGCGCTTGTATGTGTGTGTATGTGCACATGCGAGCATGTGTGCATTGTGTGTTCGGAGCATAGAAATAAGGAGACATGAAATAATGACCGTGACTCCCAGCTCTCTGGTCCTGCTGGTTATTAACATTAATGGAGACAGTAAATACAAAAGCAGGACTAAGTTTGGGTAGGAAGACAATGACATTGGGCTTGACCTTGGGGCATGCAGGTGTAAACATTTTGCAGGCAATTGAAAACTTAACCCTGGAGCTCAGGAGCTAGCTCTGGCTGGAGAACACATGTCAAGGGCAGCCTATTAGATGGTAGATGAAAGCATGCGTGTATATGATTGGGTCAATCGATGATGTAAAGACGAGAGAAAGTCAAGAACAAAATATTAGGGAAAACCCCAGTTTAAAAGATTAATAGGGGAACTAGAGTGAATCTGCAAAGGAGACCAAAAGGAACATGTAAGAAGCAGAAAGAAATGCAGGAGAATGGGGTTATAGAGGCTAAGGGAAAAGAGACTCTGTGGTGACTAACAGGGTCAAAGGCTAGAGGGTAAGCAAATGTTTGTTCATTGGCTTGAGGGTGAATGTTTGCTCATTGGCTTGAGGGTGACCTGCTCTTTTTGTCCTTCCGGCTGGTGATAAGAGGGTGCAGAAAGAGAGTGGTGGTGGGGGGTGGGGTGACCAAGGCTCAGGGACCCTGCCCACCTGAAAGGGAGGGACCAAGCTCTCACTGACCTCCCTCCAGGTGCTCCCTGGG